CCACTATTGGGTGAATCTCGTGTGGATTCCACTAAAAAAACTTGGCCGCATTCTTTGCTAGCGTAACTAGTACAGGATTTCACAAAGGGTTTCAATTTTTTCATACTTTCTCTCAAATTACTTTTACATTCCCCTTTTTTTTTTTATCTTTCTCTTCCCTTTCAATCTCTCTCTTCCTTGCACTCTTCTCACACTCTATAAATGGTGTGAGACAAACATTACACTTTCACAAATAATAAAGAAAAAGTTGAAAAGAGTATATTAATAATAGTGTGCTCTTATCCATTCTTTTGACTAGAAATATGAACTATATATATGATTACTCTAGCATGATTAGCAAAGCAGTTAAAAAAACATGACTAGTATCGAGATTCAAATGAGATTAACAATAAAGTGTTACCAATCACAACAACATATCCTTCCTTCGATAGTTCATACGCAGCGGTTAATCCCAGGCCAGACGTGGCCTACACCAACAAAATTAACCAAAAGTAAAAAGAAATTGAGGAATTCCAATAATAAAATAGATAGAGTATATCTTAGAAAGTGGATTATAGGTCTAACAAAACGGGTTTATAAGGTGAGATTTGTTCCAATACATATATTCTCTATCTTTGCCTTAACTCTAATTGATGTAAAACTTCAATTTTTTTCCAATACATCCACTCACATCCCGTTCAATGGGTTTGGTACATTGATAAATGGAATGTGAATTTTTAAATTGGATTTAAGATAGCTCTCATAACATTTTACAAAGTAGATTATGGGTCTAGTTCAAGCTTACAAAACCAACTTAGATGTGAAAATTGAGTTTTATTTTTTTCCAATATACCTTGTCAAGCTTAACACTATTGGACTTCAAGCATGATAAGATAAATGGTTGGTGAGGTTTCTTAATGATAATATATGCAGTTAAATAGTAACACAGCAAAAAATGAATGAATGAATAAATAAAAGGCTTACACCAGTGACAACGCAAACGGGCCTAGAAGAACTTGTGGAAGGGGAGCACCTGGGATAGGAAATGGGTTTGTGAGAGAAGAGGTAGGGTTTGAACAATTGGTAATAAGAAAAAAGAATGGAGAAAGTCCAGAGCAAGGCCATTCTCCAAAATTGTGGTGAGAAAAGGAAAAAGTAAGCCCTCCAGAACTCCTTTACCAACATACACAATCCCATTTTTGCAATTGCAGTTGTTGGGGAGAAAGGAACAATGAAGAGAGTTAGTTTGAGGGAGTGATGGAAGTTGGGTTTGATTTTGTCATATGTTGTGTTTGAGTTGTTAGAGCTACAACGTTGCTTTCGTCCCCTCCTTTCCCGTTCGCCTGTGTCGCTCCCAAACCATTGAAAATGTCAACTTCCAATCTATAAAGTATAAACCAATTACCAAACGCAAATATATAATAACATACACTTCCATTTACAAATTTATTTACTTTTTATTAAAAAAAAAACTAGCATGGTCGTGGCACCATCCCATAGGTTGCATTGAATTTATTTCTTTTTAATAAATTAAAATATTTTTCCTTATATGTTTTGATACCTCATCTACAATTCTTCTATAACTATATGTGCCATTCACAAATTTATGTGAGTAAATAATAATATAACTAAATTTTAAGTATATTATTAGTGTTTATAAAATAAGTGAATTTTAATTTTAATTTCTAAGTTTTTTTATTTTTTTTTAAATGTGTAAATATTGCTTTATATTTTTTTAATATAAATAATTTTTAAAATATTTTTAGTTTTTATAAAATAAGTAAATTTTAATTTTGATTCTTAAAGAAATATTTTTATTTTATATTATTAGTAAATATTATTTTTAGTCTTTATAATATATTTTTGGTTCTTGTAAAAATTATGTAAATTTTAATTTTGGTCTTGAAATTTTTTTCAAAAATATAAAATTACTATTATTGATGCCTAACAATGATTTCCACAAAATTAAAAATAATAATTTTTAATAAATTAACTAAATGACATAATAATTATCATCCAAATTTAACATATACTATTAGTTGTAATTAAATATAAACATTTGTATAAATATCGTTCTAAAAAAAATTAAGATAATTTTTGTAAAATTTTATAATTTTAATTTATTTTTAAATCTTCAATAATTATTAATTAATATAATTAATCTTTCATCATAACTAATTATTATAACTAATTGTTTATTATGTCATGTTATTATAGTTTTTTATACTAATAATTTGTTATATATTTATGTGAGTTTTATAAAAAATTTGGTGGAAATTTTTGGAAAAGTAATATCTCAATACATAATGTAACGACCTCCCAAGTAGGGATGGCAAATATACCCGTACCCGCGAGTAAAACCCGAACCCGTCCCGACTTTGACGGGGAATACCCGGTTTGACCGGGTACGGGTACGGGTACGGGTAAAACCCGATATATTAAATCGGGTACGGGTATGTACTTACCCGCCCCGTACCCGTACCCGTACCCGTCCCCGTTCTCATTTTTAATTTAATATTCACTTTTAATTTAATTATATTAAAAAATTTTAATATTTTTTTTATGTATGATTATTTATTATAATGTGAGATAAAAAATAACCTAATTATAATTATAATATAATAAAAAAAATAATTTAAAAATATTATTTTTAAAAAGAAAATAAAAAATAAAAAAATTGACGGGTACGGGTACGGGTACGGGTATACCCGATACCCGACGGGGATGGGGATGGGGATGAAAATCCATACCCGACGGGTATGGGGACGGGGATGGGGATGAGTTTTACTTGCGGGGACGGGGACGGGTATCATGAAACCCGTACCCGCCCCGCCCCGTTACCATCCCTACTCCCAAGGCCGTTACATGGTATAACGCAACTACTAAACATCTCATAAACATACTAAGATAGGTATATAGAAAATATATATACATAAATATAAACAACTAAGTTGTTTGGCAAACAACTATGAATAACGATACTACATAATAATCTACAACAAGGGGCAGTCAACAAAAGAAAACTATCCAACTCCTACGCCACTGGTGACCTTCGCTGCTACACTCCAGCATATCTTTGTCATGCTCTCATATCACGTATGATCATCACAATCCATACCCACATGAAAATATGCAAGGGTAAACTAGGTAAAGCAAATAACACACACATATATATAAAAACATTTTACTATCATCACAGCATACAACACACAACACAATGCAACTTTTAATCAACACAACAACTCATTTCTTCACAATTCAACCAACACAAGAACAACACACAACATCACAACATATTTCAACATTGAATCAACACGGCAACACTATCAACACAATTCAACATATCATCTCTATGCGTTGTTACGCATTTCAACTCGGAATCTTCTACAACACAGGATAAGCACTTTAAGTGGCTAGATCCTACCAAAGCGACAACACAAGTGATCTTTTTGGGCTTGCTAGATCAACAACAAATTAGATATCAATCCACAACACGAAAACACAGTTTCTCAAACTTCATCATTTAAACAAGGAAGTATAGTACTATGTCAGGATAGAATAGCTAGGTACGGGCCTACCACGACATTAGCTAGCTTAACCAAGCCTCCTATTAGATTAGCTCATCGACTATCTTCCAAATACTACAACCTTCCGATACTCAGTTAGGAACAAAATTTCTAACTTCATATTTTACTCGATTTTGGTCGCTTGTAATCAGTATAGCTTGACCTGACCCCTATACTGTGGTCACTTCATACACATGTGTCTCAACCTTATTCACACAATACCAACTAAGTCCTAAAGGAGAACAACACGACATCCACTCTAAGGGACAACTTCCTATGGAGGGTTTTCAACAAATTAGGCTCTTAGAGCACCACAACACACTCAATCCACACAATGGGATGAGTAATTTTCAAAAACATCTCTGCTAGTCCTAAGTGGTCAATACATCTCATCAACACAACAAAACAACCCAATTACATCAACATTGTTTAACAACACATTTTTAACAACGCAACAACTCAATCAACTAACAATTTTCAACTCATATAGCATCTCTACACAACTCAGTTAGAGCATGCATATCACATCTCACAACTCAATCATCACTACATGCCTCAACAACACACCAATAGTCAACACACGAAGCAACTCAACCAACAAACTTCCAATGTACAACTCAACTACACATTCAACCATATAACAACTCAAACATCATATTAGCAACTCATATACAACACAAAACTAAAAACACATTTCTACTACACATAATAGAACCATGCCCGGTAAAATTATTATTTCACATAGCACTAGGCTCACACAAAGAGCTCTAAAGCTTTGTCACGCCCGACATGTGTAAAGTCACACCCGACGTCAGTCTATTAGAGGCCTATGAGGGTAATTACACCTGGCGTGGTAAGTGTCACGCCTGAAGAATTTATCTGAGGGCTCCATGGCCCTCTCATGCCCAACACGGGGTGTCATGCCTGACGCTAAGGCTTGATAGGGACCACCCAAGATAAATCACGCCCAGCGTGATTACCTTGCGCTCGACCTCATATCAGTAGAGACCCAAACCACTCCAACTACTGATATCACGCTCGGCACCACCACCTCCACGTCCAACGCCATTCACCCAAAAAAACCCCAATTTCACTATTCACCTAGCGCAATCAGCTTTGCACCCAATGTGAACATAAAACTTGGACATTTGATGAATGTCTGCCCGGTGCCATAAAGGCACGCCTAATGCAAATTCAAAAACCAATCCTTCAAGTTTGAAAATTTTCATCAAAACTAGCAATCTAAGACATTAACAACACATGCAATCCAAAGATAAGCCAACATATTAACCACATATAGCACAGAAACTCCAAGAATATCAACATGCAACTCTAAATTGTAACATTCTGAATCTTCTACATAGTTAATTATTATTATTTTATATTTATGGAGCTTATTTAATGAAATTTTATAGAACATTTTAGAGATTTTTAAAAAATTAATTTTTATATGAAATTTTATTTTATTTTATTTTTTTAGGCCCAGAATGGGCCGTTCCAAAAAGTAGAACGGGCCGTTCTAGACAAATAAAATGGTCTAAAAACCTTAGTTGAAAACGGGTTGTTCCAATTATGGTCAATGTGTGTTAATATCAACCCTAAAACAGGGCGTTCTGGTTTAAGAACGGGCCGTTCTGGTGTTGAGAACGGGTCGTTTCAGTGATAAATTTTGCACATAATGAATGGCTCCAAAACGGGCCGTTCCGAGGCCTATAAATAGGAGGGAGGGGCTGTGAAAAAAATTGTAACTGACGACGGTAAAAACTTCGAGAGAGAAAGAGAGAGAGAAAGAAAGAGGGAATCCAGAGGAAGAGATTAGCAAGGTTCTGCTTTAGTTTCAGCTCCTGCTTATCGAGGTAAGGGGGAGTGAGAAACCTCGCTCGAGGGTGTGAGAATAATTGTTGGGTAGTCGGATTGGCCCCCAATCTCTTGCCTGATGTATGTTTCTAGCAACATGAATATGTTCTGTTTTACTTTCTGTTTGCTCTACTGTGTTCCTTGTTGGAAGTGATGAATGAATATGTAATTAATTTTGAAAATAAATAAGTTTTAATATGAATAAGAGTGCTCTGTGGATTCTTGTGTGGACCTTATGAGGAATAATTACGACATGACTATGTGAAATATGAACAAATGACATGAGACATGAGAATGGGCTATCGAGATAAGCTATGACTATGAGAATATGAAAATGATGACATGAGGTAATAAATGAAATTCCGTAATAAGTGAAATGTTGAGTCAATAAAATAGTGAATGTATGACATACATCATATACATATATAACTCCAGGTGTGCCGCTTATGCCGCATACCAGTGATGTAACAAGCTATGTGATGAAATGACTTATTCTAGGTGTGCTGCTTAGGCCACATACTAGTGATGTACTGAAATATTTTAGGTGTACCTTAGGGTCATCAGTGATGTTACTAGCTAACAAGGTGTACCTTAGGGTCACCAGTGATGTAACAAGCTAACAAGGTGTACCTTAGGGTCACCAGTGATGTAACAAGCTAACAAGGTGTACCTTAGGGTCACCAGTGATGTAACAAGCTATGAGAAATGTGAAACTTCCATATGGCGCCACATGCATGTATTTAAGAGTTGAGTTCATGACATCATTGCATGATAAATGAGTGTATATGTGATATTGATTGTGTATGTGTATTGTTTACATGTCTTATGTTTGTTGTGTGTGTGTATGCTATTTAACCTTTATTTCTGCACCTGGAACCGAGTGAGATATTTCTCACTCCCTTGTTATTCTTGTACATGTTTAAATTGTGTTGCAGGTGATCATCATCATGGGGATGTT